TCAAGTTTCTGACCCTTCCGGAGTATCACGCTGTGGTACAAATGATGCTATCGGACGCTGGGCATGGGGACCACGTTTACGTGCGAGCCTACAGCTTCGATAGCAAGCCTTTGGTTGGAGCCCTCGTGTCCTCGCTGGAGCGAGGCGCCCGAGCCCACGTGCTTGCCGACAACTCGCAGACGAGCCGGACCAAGCTCCAGCTGCAGTCCCTCAAGGAGCTAGGGGCGGCTGGCGTCCAGGTCCGTGTCGGCAAGGGCACCTCGGTCAAGGCGGCTTACGCCGCCGAGAACCGCACGGACGTGAGCATCGGCGCAGGCCTCGCGGGCATCCACCACGCCAAGACGGTGCTCGTGACGAGGCCGGACTCCACAGTTAGCGCCGTGATAGGAAGCCTAAACTTTAGTGCTAGTTCACGGGCCAACGCGGAGGTCGGCATCGCGGTCGCCAGTGTGCTGACCTCTGAATTTAGCCAAAAGTGGCTAGATTCGTTTGGCACCGAGTGGTCCAAGGCGCTGAAGCTCGAGGAGTTCGAAGCACCTCAGCGGAACCACCGCGGGCGGGCAAAACCCTCAAATGTCCAGCAGCCCGCCGCGCAACCCAACGTGGAGCCGCAGTGACCGTGGACTAGAAGTCGCGGACTGCGCTCCGCCCTTCTAGCCACCTGTGGCAACTTCAGTTTTGGTCGCAGCACCTAGCTGCTTTCCGATGAGACGACAGGGTGGCGTATCCGCTCTACAGGTCTTTGACGGGAGCGGCTAGGGAGGCACGGTAGTGCTCCCGAAGCGCGTGGAGTAACGCCGCAGCTTCAGCTGCTCGTTTCACCAGCCCTGTGGCCGCAGTGCGGCGCAGGCTGTGTACAGTAGGAAACCAGAGCCTCGTGCAGCACAGGCCGTGAAAAACGAAGGTCTTGTGCTGAGTGCGAAGGGTTTGTAGGAGGGCAGGGTCTGTAGGTCAGTTTTACGGCCTCCGGCCGCCCGCGGAATCCTACGGCTCTATCGTGCTCTCGGCTGAGGGGCGAATGTAACTGTACATAGTCTGCGGGCTGGCTGTTGTGCTGTATGCTTTTATGCATGCTCTTCTGTAATTCGTATTCATAACATTTTTGGCTCAAGTGAGCACGGCAGTGTGTCGTTGGTAGCTTCTCGTTGCCGCGACGCAATTGCGCGCAGCCCGTCCTGGGCGGACGTTCGACCTGTCACGGTCGTTGGACTTTCTGCTTGGACGGAAAACGAGGGTGCGTGCTGCCCCTTTGGGTTTCCGTTCTCCACATACTACTACTTCTACTACTACTACTACTACTACTACTACTACTACTACAGTACTACAGTACTACAGTACTACTACTACTACTACTACTACTACTACTACTACTACTACTACTACTACTACTACTTCTACTACTTCTACTACTTCTACTACTTCTACTACTTCTACTTCTACTACTACTACTACTACTACTACTACTACTACTACTACTACTTCACTACTACTCCTGCTACTCCTGCTGCTACAGGCTACGGCTAAGACTACTACTGCCACTACGACCACACCTACGACGACGAGGAGGACGACGACCATGCAGCCGCTGTCATCATGAACGCCGTGTCCCGGCTTTCCAGAACATAGACTTAGTCTTCATCACAAGCCCCTAACTTCCCAACTGATTCGCATCCAGTCCTAGCTTGCTCTTCGACCAGCCCCACTCGTTTTGCGAGCCGTCCAGCTCCTGCGCAGGAAGCATGACGTGCGAAAACCACACACATGTCGCGGCGTGGTCGTACCGCAGTAGAAGCAGCGTGAGTGAAAGAAGCAGAAGGAGCAACCCATTGGAGTAGGAGCAGCAGCAAAGGAGAAGTAGTAGCAGCAGTCGTAGTCGCAGTCGTAGTAGTCGTCGCTGTCCTAGTAGCCGTAGCAGTCGGAGGAGTATATAGCAGCACAGTTAGGAGTTGAGTAGGAAGGGTAGGGGCTGGAAGAGAAGACCTAAGAGCAAGATCAGCAGCAGCAGTAGCAGCCCCTAAACCACCGGATGCGAACGACGTCCCAGCTACTGTCTTCAGTATTGCTTGCACCCTTAACACCTCCGTTGACAAAGTCGCGCACTGCTGACCTCTGATGGCCTAGGTTTTCCTCAGGATGCCAGGATGCCGAAAGTGAAAGGGTTCCGAGCACTGGCTGGACGGCTCGAGAAGCCCGGCACACCACCCGCCAAGCCTCGTACATCATTTTGTCAAGCTCCGCCTCCGCTGCAGACTGTGCTTCGGTTGATGATACAAATCCTGCATTACCCAAAATAAGGAATATACCATAATTCCCATTGTTTAGGGTCCTTAACTCGGCCCTTTATTCGAAAAGCGCATGGCCCCAATTTCGAAGCTCTTCAACGGTGTAGGGTACCGGGTGCCGTCTTCAGATGTGATAGAAAGACTCCGAGATGAAGTATTGAGATTTAATATACGGGCCTTAATATTTAGAATAGGGTTTTGGGGAATATTATACTATATATATAGTTATAGTAAGGATCCGCCAAAATATTATAGGTAATTATTCACGCCCCTAGATGATGGGCTCGAGGCGGGCAAACAAATCCTCTCTTGGAGAAGTCTGCTGCATCAGCCCATGCCTTGAAGAAATCAATTCTCTAAAGCCCACACCCTACAAAACCTAAACCCCAAACCCTAAAGCCCAAACCCTCCGCAAATCGAGATTGCTGTCCCTGACGTCTTCGACGAAAAAGCGACCATCAGGTCACCAGGGAAGCCGTAAACAACCATCATCAACATGTCGGTTCAAGAGTCATTCTCACTTGTTCAGACCCTGAAGTCAGCTCCAGGGATTACTGTGTAATTTAGGGGCCTTCATAATGAAACCTGGGTTTGGGGTATAGTATACAACCAATGTAAACAAAGGACCCCAGGGAAAATGTCGGAATACGTCTTCCGAGTCACGGCGTGACGATGTGGTGCTGAGTGGCGGAACTATTAGTGTGGTAGCTCGGATATGTAAGTGTGTGTTATAGGGTTCGAATGATTGGCAGTTGGCAACAGTACCCTTGTGGTCCATGTACTGTGAAAATGGGCCAAAAAGAAGACACCAACATTACTCCCAATGCCCATGTCATCACACGAGCAGACACCTAATACTGTACTCGTCATACTAAACCCTAAACCCAAAACCCAAAACCCTAAAAACTATGCACGACACTGGACTACAGCCAGCAGCCCGGCCTGCTCTAGCACGCTTTTCCCGAAGAGCTTGGGTGCGATCATCTCGTTGACATTCTTCACAGCTGTCAGCACCTCGAGAAATACCCGAAGGCTCCTAAGAGGCTCACGGGCTTTCTGGGGGAGGGTTTGGGCTTTCGGGGCTAAGGTTTGGGATCTCACTACGAAGGTCGAGGAGCATTAGGTAGAGACTTAGGGCTATCAGCGGCTCGAGAAACAAGCTTATTTACTGACTCCAGGCAGAAAGCAGTGGCGTCCATCAAACAGCTTGTCAGGCAAAAAGCAGTAGAATGTATCAACGGGCTTTCGATGCAAAGCTGTCTGCCTATCCAGCACTAGTTCCAGCGACAACATAACAGTTCCGGCTATTGAGCGCCCAAAGCCTCACGAGGCCTTCACACATTCTCTCGAAACATCTGCGACGTGCCCTATGGGCCTATGGGTGGCATGCAAGCTGTCATCCAAACCACAAGTATCATTTCTGCATCCCGCAAAGACCGAGCTTGGCACACCTTTGCCCAAGTACCTGCGAAGCTTGGGGAGATGACGATCACGTCAGAGACTAGTAACCAAAGTGCACGAGGTCAATCAGAGCCAGTGTGTTCCTCAGTTCTGGCGCCTCATCCACATCATCCGTATGTACTCAATACGCATACATAAACATATGTAGGTTGGGGTATGTGTGTATATATATATACACATGTCGTACGTGCATTCGGAACAGGCCTCACCATCAGCATCATCACCATCATCATCCGCGACAGAATCCATCTCCTCTTCGTCGTCCCCCTCCTCGCAGAAACGGCAGCAGCGGCAGCAGCAGCAGCACCACAGCCATCATCATCCTCGGCAGCAGCATCTTCATCATCATCATCATCAACATGCTTATGCTCGGGCTCAGACTCAAAATGGCCACAGCAACAATCTGCATCCTCGCTGCGGCCAGTGTCGGCAGCCGTATGAGCATCATCACCACCATCAATGCAGTCGTTGTCCCCGTCTTCCTTGTCCTTGCCAGCATCTTTATCATCATCATCTTCTTCTGGAGGATTAACCATAACCATCATATGCTCCTCTCTTCTTGATGATTTCCGTCATCACCATAGCAACGGCGAGCCGTGCCACCAACATCACCAGCTCTTTGTCGCAAGCATCACCGCTTTAATCCTTACATGTATGTTTCTTCTTCTGGGTTGTCGGGTCGTCCCAATTCCCAAACCCTAAACCCCTAAACTCCTGCGCCCTGAATGTCTGCACACCTTTTGCGACGTTCCCAACTCCCCTGAAACTCCAATATCCCTTAATTAAGGAATACTCCTTAAATCATATTAGGGATCCTACTATAACTTAAGGTATATTCCTTAATTAAGGGCTGCCTGTTGGGATCTTTGTCTCGTAGCTCCAGAGCCTCGTAGACACCTGTAGAGGCACCTTCAGGGTGGGGCGGCTGAGGCTTTTCTGAAATGGGCTCCTTTAGGGTGCATTGAAAGGGTTGTATAAGGATTCTACTACAGTAGGGATTTAGGGGGTATTTCGGCTGAAAGTTACAGGGTTTCAGCACGGTTTAGGGTGTAGGTGTAAGCCTGAAGTCGCTCGCACAGGTCGCTGGAGTGTTTCAGACGAGTTCGCCGAAGGCACATGTGATCGAGCCCAGCGAAAAGGCCTGTGCGCCTTTGCTTTCTTAGGGTTTTAGAAGGGTCCTTAGCTACCAGTGGCAGCTGTAGGCCCTCTTAGAAGCTGTCACTGGTAGCGGAGCCTCTCGCTCCATGGCCAGTCCTGATGGTGCGGACCCGTGGTCCACTTCAGACCCTTGGGGCGGCGGCAATCAAGTTGATGCTGCTGCCGAGCCTGAACGCGAAGCTGCGCGACCTACTCCTGCTACTGATGATCAGTCTTGGGAAGTCCAAGGAAATGGGGCCTCAGGTGACGGGGATGCATCTGGGCCTTGGACAAGGGAAGACTGGGAAGCCTGGCAGGCACGCTGGGACAGCAGAGGTTCTCAAGATGGAGGGAGCGACGGCGGCAACCATTCCGCCGACAGCAACGGGGCCTCGAACTGGTCTTGGGCTACTCAAAATTCTGGCAGCTGGGGCCGCTGGAACCGGACGTGGCGATCCCAAGGCGACTGGGGCCGCTGGCAGTGGATGCCAGCCGACAACGTCTCTACTTCGACCTCTGCGAGTACCAGCGGGACGGCGCCGATTGCATGGAACAGTTCTTCATGGACGTGGTGGGATGGAGACGTGGGGCCTACAGCGGGTTCTACAAGTACCTCCGGGACTCCGCCGACTACGTGGACCGCGGCAGCTACTACGGCAAGTTCGTGGAATGGAGGGCCTGCGGCGACATGGGATGCATCTACAGGGACTGCGCACCAGTCTTTTGGAGGGACAAAGGGGCCTACGGAACGGCTCATCGTCCCCACCTTCACCGGGGACACCGAGAATGGCGGCGACCTTGGAACATCGGCGCGGAGCTACCTGAGACAGGTGAATGCTTGGGAGAGTTGGCCCCAGACCAACGCGCGCTGGTGCTATATCAGCACTTATCTGGTTCTGCTTGGGTGAACTCTGAGTCTTTGAATGTTGAGGATCTCGCCCATCCTGAAGGCGTGGCCCGTCTACGAGAATGGATTCGTCAGCACTACTTGGACGTGGAGGTCACACAGGTGGGACGCTCTTTGAGTGATTTGTTCAGGAAGCTCCGCAGGCGTCCTCAACAGAGCTTCCGGGACTATGCCGCGGAGTTCAACCGCTTGCTGGCGAGAGTCATAGAGTGCGGTTGCGCTCTGCCAGACGTGGCCAATGCTTGGCTCTTCGTGGACAGGGCCAACCTCGACGAGGCCACGGAGGTCAGCCTGCTTGCGAGTGTAGGTAACAAGTACGCCCTCAAGGCCTTGCAGTCTGCGGCTATCGTCTTGGACAGGTCAATGCGAAAACCCTGGGAGAAGGCAGGCCTCCGTGGGAAGCCCCAGAGTGTCAACCAGACGGACGACCTGGATGGCGGCGAGGCTTCGGATGTTGAGCCCCCTCTTCACGATGACCCCGAATGCAACTCCGAAGAACTCTACCTCACTTACATGACAGCAAAGGCCCGCTACAAAGAGTCTGCCAAGGCACGGGGAACTGACTACAGAACCACTGAGGCCGACTCGGGTGGCATGCGGAAGGCTGCCGAGGCCAAAATCCAGTTGGCCAAAGCGAAGTCCCACTGCTCTGCTTGTGGGCAGAGAGGCCACTGGCACAGAGATGCTATCTGCCCCAAGTTCCCTGGCAATGGCAACCAAGGCCCCGGCGCCAAGGCACAGACGATCCACGTCACCAACGAGGTGTTTGAGCTCACCACGGGCACGCGCGAGGGCCTCAAGGCGATCCTGGACTCCGCTTGCTCTAAGACTGTGGTTGGGACTGGGTGGCTTCAGAAGTACCTGGACTATGTCAAGGGAAGCGGCTACGATGTGGTCTTTGTTTATGAGAAGGAGAGCTTCAAGTTCGGGGCCGCCAGCCGGATCTACGAGTCCACCTATGCCGCGGTGATCCTCGTACCTCTTCTTGACCACATCATCGCGATCAAAGCCTCGGTGATCCACGGGGACATCCCACTTCTTCTTTCGAGACCGGCTTTGGCACGACTCGGCCTCGTCTTGGACCTCGGAAGTAACGTTGCTACCTTCCGCGCACTCGACGGTGGCGAGGTCGAACTGGAGGAAACTACGAGTGGGCACCCTGCTGTTGTAGTTGATCACTCCAAGCTGGCTAAGCCGGACACTTCAAGGCTCCCTGACAACTGGGAGCCACATGGAATCGCGATCCTCGGCCCTCGCGAGGTGTACATGGTTGCTTGCAGCGGGGATGTTTCGGGCGATGATCAAAGGGATCCTGGTGATGTCGATGCGGTGACGAAGATCTTTTACGACAAGAAGATAGATGGTGCTGTTAGGGACATGCTGACGGGTGACGTTCTTAACGAGGACCTCTTTGTGACATGGTGGGCCAACACAGAACTCGTAAACGATTTTTGGATTGAGCTACCCAACAAACTAGTTCGTGTCCACATCACTCCTCGAAGAAAGTTCTTTGACCCTCGAAGATGGGAGACAAGCCAAACCCACCTACGTGATCTTTTGCTGCGTCAGCTTGGGAGTGTCAGGGAATCATGGGGCATCGGTTGCATGTCACGACGCATGTTGTCTACAGTGACTGAGCAGTGGGCTGTCAAAGATCTTGGCGAGTATCCAACATTGTGGGTCGGCCGCAGTGTGTTCAATCGAGCTCAATCTGTTGCCCCTCCGCGTCCCGTCGATCATGCTCCCAGTATGGAAGATGACAAAGGCCCAGTTGATCGACGAGTGCAAGCGCCGGCAGCTGGCGTTCAACGAGGCTTGGACGTGCCCAGAACTTCGGACGATCCTCATCGCGGACCGGGAGTACGAGACCAAGAGGAAGGGAGTTGCGGTGCCGAAGGGCTTGTCGTCCATGAACCTGGACGAGCTGAAGGCCGAGGCGCACAAGATGGAGCTGACCGTGAAGTCCGGGGACACAAATGGGAGTCTCATGCTACGCATCAGGGACGCAGCGGCCCCGGCGGATACCGTCATGACCATTGGTCGGTTCCGAGGGACAACGTTTGCCCAGATCCCAGACAACTACGGAGACTGGGCGTCGGAAAAAGAACGCCAGAATGGGACCAACATGCACAACGACTTGAAGCGGTTTGTGATGTGGCGGCGACATCGCAGGTCCAAGGGACAGAACACCCCGGCTGCGGCGGCGAGCACCATGGAGCCGACCTACCTCGACGCGGAGACCTACGCGACGGTGCCCCCGCCGCCGATCAGCGAGACGGGTTCGTCGTCCTGGGCGATGGTGGCGGACTACGAGAGTGCGTTCTCCGAGGGGTACAACCCGCGTGCGAGAGGCCGTCCGGCCTTGTGGAGGGAAGCCCAGACACCGGTGCCAGCTGCCAAGCCGAAGCACCGCTCAGCCAAGACGAAGACCAAGGACTCGGAGGGCCCCGAGCGCATGGAGCAGGAGATCGACCCGGCCACGATGGACGAGATCCAGGCACTCGAAGCGCGCCTGGCCACCCTACGCGACAGGTGCGGTTTGGCACCGCACCAGGGCTGAACCCTGGCGATGGCTATGAGGACCAAGGCGCCCCATTTGGGGCACACGACATGCACTACGAACCCGGCGAGGTTTTCAGATCGTGTTCTTCTGGTTCGGAAGACTCGAACCATGGGATCCTTGCTACGCGACACGGAGGTTCTCGAGGTCCTAAGGCCCATCCTGGAGAAGACGCTGCCGGAGCTGCACTTCATGAACGGGATTTTACTTTCGGTACCGTCTCCAAGGTCCTTGCGAACTACGATCTCAAGCCCACAAACCATCGTCGTGCTGGATTGCATGGCGAAAGTGAGGAAGCGAAGCGGTGCAATCTTGGGTACTACGCCTACGGCACTTTCAAGGGAGTCGGCCGCCGTACGACCGAATGGCCCAAGTTGACCACCTACTTGAACGAGTTCCTCGCTGATTGCATTGGGGAAAGCGGTCATGGTCAAGGCCGGGCCACGTGGGCGGCCCTTGCACTACTGGGCGACATACCTACTGGGGTCCACACGGACCGGAACAACCTCAAGGGCAGCTTCAACTACCTGGTCAGTTTTGGCAGCGGCAATGGAGGAGGGGTCTGGATCCAGGAAAAGGGCGGCGGAACTTGGCGCCGCAGTGGAAATGGCCAAGAGATCGAGGGGCGCATTGTTGACGCCCACGAACAAGGATGGGAGTTCGATCCACGGCTCGCCCACGCCACCGAGCCCTTCGACGGCGAGCGTTGGTTTCTTGCGGGATACACCCCGCGCTCTTTTCCGGAAGCCTCCAAGAGCGAGAGGAAAATCCTGAACGACCTCAAGTTCCCGGTACCCACCAAGGCCGAGATCCGGGAGATCAAGAAGCGCGACGACTACGCGATCGACATCCCGGAGAAGGAGATCGCCCACGAAGGAGGTTCAGGTTCGCGACCAAAACGGAGCGTTCGGAAGGGCATCCGCCGAACGGCCATGATGTTGTCTGTCTTGTTCACCACGGCCATTTCGACCATGTGCGGTGTTGTACGTGATGCACTACCTGCTCATGTCAGCCCTGCAACCGCCATTCTTGAAGTTGGTGGACTCTCTGCTACCTGCCGGCTTGCTGAGTACGATATCTGCGGCGACCACCTCGTGGAACCCCTGCTCCCTGAGGACGTGCTTTCCAACGACCACCCGGAGGACCTGGGCATTGGCTACATCGAGGCGGCGGTCGTCCGCCACCGACCCGGGCAGCTCTGGATTCACATGATAATTGAATGGGGCTGCGACGCGGTGTTCCGTGACTTGGTCGAGGCGATCAGCTACCAACTCGGGAGGGGACAAGCCGTGGTGCTTGAGAGGGAGGTCGAAGAACCTCTCCTTTGGGAGAGCTTGGCCAATGGTTGGGAGGATGCGGGCTACGACGTGACCTACGATTTCACCGAGGACGGCCATCAGTACATCCGGGTCGTTCAGGCCCAGTCAGAGGGGGAGATCCACTCCGTGTACGTCGGCGACAACGAGAGCGAGGAAGAGTTGCTCCCTGCACAAAGCGAAGAACGCGGAGCTGAAGATGAGGGCCCCTTACCACGAGGTGCCCGGGCAATCAGTTTTCCGCCCACCGTCTCCGAGACGATAGCGACCAGTCTGCGTCGTCTACACCAGAACCTTGGACACCCTAGCACCGCCGATTTTGTTCGTCATCTACGCCTGGCCGGGGCATCCCGTGAAGTTCTGAAAGGGGCCAAGGCCCTAGAGTGCCAAGTTTGTCAAAGGAGCAAGCAGCCGGCTATCCCCAAACCGGCTAAGATTGTCCCCTGCTACCGATTCAACGAGATGGTTGGCACGGACTTGTTCTATGTCCACGACAGCGAAGGCCGGCGACACCAGCTCCTCTCCATCGTCGATTTCTCGTCTGCCTACCACATCGTTGTGCCAGTGCAGAGGAAAGACACCGTTACACTCGAGAAGGCGTTCTGTGAGAGTTGGGTTCAGATCTTTGGGGCTCCGACCACGGTTGCGGTCGATTTGGAGAACGGGTTGGAGAAGTCTCTAGCCCGTATTGGCGACTGGACGGGGACCCGCATTCGCAGTGCGGCCGGACAGGCCCACCACCAGGCTGGCTACACAGAGCGCCAAGGAGCTATCTGGAAGTCCCTTTTCAGCCGGATCTGCGAGGAACACTCTGTATGCCAAAGTGATTTCCACCTCGCTGTGAGCGCAGTCTCTTCTGCAAAGAACCAGCTGACACGGACGAGCGGTTTCAGTCCTTGCCAGCATGTGTTTGGATCGATGCCGGGGCTCCCAGAAGATCTTCTTGAGGGTCCTCACGCTGACCACCCGGAGCAGGAGGCGATCATCGACGACAAGCACGCCCGTGAGGTCGCACTTCGAACGGCCGCTCGGGCCGCCTACTTCCATGTCCAGACCGATGAGAGGGTTCGCCGCGCCCTTGCAGGGCGCGCCCGTGTTGAAAGCCGAACACCAGAAACCGGGGAAAGGGTCTTCTACTTTCGCAAGACGAAGAACAACAAGAAGGGCTACTGGGTCGGACCCGGAACTGTCATCGGGCGAGAAGGCGCGAACCTATGGATCACCCGAGCCGGGAGATGTGTTCTATGTGCTCCAGAGCACGTTCGGCTTGCAACCGGCGAGGAACTTGGTCAGGCCTTCAGCATGAAGGTCGCGCAAGAAGACTTGGACAAGTTGTTGAATGCCGACTCAGATGAGCCGGGCGCCTACGACGAGGATCACGAGGACCAAGGGGACGAAGAGATGCTCAACGCTGGGGCTGCTGGCGTTGGCGAGATTGTGTATGACATGGAGCTGGACGGAGAAGAAGAACGACGTGGGCTACGACGTGACCTTGTTCGTGTACCTCCTCGTGTCCTGAAGCGACAGCGACGCAAGGGGCGCGGTGAAGAAGCGGCCGTTGACGGTGGGCCCCGCGAAGGGCCCAGTGATGTGAACATGATCAAGCGAGCCCGCACCCAGCGGTCCCGGGAAAAGCAGCTAGAGAAGGAGATCCCTTGGTCCCTCATCCCGGAGTTTATGAGGCCGAAGTTCCGGGAGAAGGAGATGGTCCAGTGGCGAGAACATGTGGACACTGGGGCCTTGGAAGTCCTGAGTGTCGAGGAAAGCGAACGAGTTCGCCGTGAAGAACCGGCGAGCCGTATCCTCGGCTCACGTTTCGCCTACAGGGACAAGCACCTTGGGCGCAGGCGCGCCGACCCTACTGTGGAGTGGAAGCCTAAATCAAGGCTGGTCGTGGCTGGACATCTTGATCCCGATGTGGGCGTGGCCAACATCGAGGTCGACTCTCCCACGGTGTCGAGGGCATCCTTGATATCTTTGCTTCAGATATGCGCTTCCAAGCGTTGGAAGGCTGCTGCAGGAGATGTTCAAGCTGCTTTCTTGCAAGGCGTTGAGCTCGGGCGCCAGTTGTGGATGGCACAGCCAAAGTCCGGGATTTCTGGACTGGATCCAAGACAGCTCGCTCGAATCAGGAAGGGAGTCTTCGGCCTATCCGAGAGCCCGAGGATGTGGTACGATAGGCTTTCTGGCGTTCTACTTAGCGAGGTCTTCGACATCGGAGGAGTACGACACCGCCTCGTGCCGAGCCCTTTAGACCCTTGCGTGATGATGCTCATCAAGGATGGCGAAGCTTCTGAGCCAGCAGGATACCTCGCCCTCCACGTGGACGACATTTTGGTGGTCGCCCCTACCGAGGTCAACCGCATGCTCCAAGGGAGGATCGGGCGCCTTTTCCCGATCGACGGCTGGCTCGAAGACAGTTTCGAGTATGTGGGGTCCTTCATCCAGGTGAACGACGATGGCGTGAGTATCACCCAGGAGAGCTTTGTGGATGGCCGTTTGTTCACTGTTGAGGTCCCCCGTTCGCAGAAGGGGACAGAACCAGCTACTGAAGAGCAGGCCATCGACAACCGATCATTGATCGGTGCTTTGAGTTGGCTAAGTAGCCAGAGTCGCCCAGACCTGACGTGTGGGGTGGCATTGTCACAGCAGCTCCAACGGGCCCCTCTTACCGAGGATGTTCGATTCGTGAACCAGCTCTCGGCCCGGGCCAAGGAGTTCCGCGAGAACGGGATCTACCTGCGGCCTACCAAACTCGAGGACGCGGTGTTCCTCGTGTACCACGACGCGGCCTGGGCCAACGCCGAGCTCGAGGAGGCCGAGGACGGGTTCAAGCT